AGCCCGTGCCCGCCCTGGCCAAGCGCATCCGTGACATGAAGGGCACGCTGGAGCGGCTGGAGGGGCTCTGCAAGTAGTTGCTCCCGCCGCCGCCCCCCCTCCCGTGCCGGCAGCGGGGGCCTCGGGGTGCTGCTGTGTCGCTCCGGCGGCCCCACCGCTCACGGCGTCCGCAGCTCCCACCTGCACATCCTCGCTCGCTCCCCCCGTGCGTGACTTGCCGGCATCAGTGGCCAGATCGCCTGTGTTGATCTGGACGAAGGGAAATTTTTGCGACCGACGAAGGAAAAGGTCCCGGTTGAAAACCGCGGGGTAAATGGCAGATGGTGCTTTTTAGCTTCAGCTCCATTAAAGATTTTGGATCCCACATGCCTTACGCTTTCTATTTATTGAGGGCTAAGAGAAACTAACGAGTCTTAATTAAAAGTAGCTGTTATTTTTTTTTTTTTTAATTGAAAATTCTTGTGAGTAGCTTCTTGATGCTTACAGGCATATGTGCTTATTTGTAGCTGATTTGGTGCCTGAAGAGCACCAAGTTCTCATCTATGCTGTTACAGCAAATAAACTCACAGAACATCACTGTTTCTTACAGGACACAATTTTAAGATAAGAGTAAGTTTAATACATGTAGCAAAGATGCTTGTTTTCTGAGACAAATATAAAGTCCGTGGAAGATAATTGAGATTCAGATAAGAACAAATCCATAAGCAAAGTTCTAAATAAAAGCCTTCAGATTAAATGTGCTTTGCCTCCATTAATCTTTACCATTTTCACGGTGTAAAAGTTTAAATGGCATCACTGTGAAATGATCCTGTTATTTTGTTGTTTGCTTTTTTTTTTTTTTTTTTCCTAGTTGGGAAAATATCTAATTACACAAGGAGTACAAGTACATGATGACATTTTGTGGGTGTATGACTGACATAAAATAACTGCCTTGGAATAATTTATTTGTATAAATTGAAGCTTTTGTATATGCATCAGAGTGTGGAGAAGTGATTATGTTATATCAGTGAGTGTTTCCTCTGAGACCTGAGAGTAGCTGAATTCTCTACTCACTAATGTTCCTATGCAAAAAGCCTGTTAGGTGATGCTCTTAGCAATCCATTTAGGTCACAAATGTCCCTGTAACAAGATTTCAGCAGAAAAATGATCACTTTGATCTTACATAAGTGTAATAGTGCTTTTGGTGACCAGTGGCTCCTAAAAGCCTTGAAGTGAGAGTAGCCAGAAATACTGCTCAAGTCCTGTGCCTGTGGCTGAAGAGCAGGCAGGTTCACAATGGGCAGAGCTGCTGCCCCACGGTAATCTTGTTAAAAACACAGTGAGGGATGGACTCCGTGATACCATGTGCTCCTTCATGTACAGAATACTGAATTACAACAAAATGATTGATGTGAATGCCACCCCAGTTTGCATGATGCCAGTCTCTGGCCTGTTTTGAGCCCCTTGGCATAGCTGTGTCTTTCCCTCAGCACAGGGGTGTGTTTCATGTGTGGCCTTGTAGCCCTAGCAACAGGACAAGACTGGAACTGGGCTGTGCCAAGGTAGGCTTCTCTCTGGTACTGTCTGCTGGGGGTTAGCTGTGGCTCCAGGAGGAGACCAGAGGCCTAACAGAAATTAGGAGGGAGGAAAAACTTAACTGCTGCTGATCCCATGGGCCTAGAAGACACTAAAGATTGCTTAACACCACAGCAACAGCTGTACTTTTAATAGTTTTGTTATTCCTGGGAAAGCTTGAACTCGTATATTATGCAGATGCAGTAGTTTTGCTAAGTGTGTTTGGTATATGCCAAGAGCGAACACCAAAGGTTGATCTTGCGCAATTTGTGAGTACTGATGAAATGTACAGGAAAGACCTGCAAGCTTATTTGTGTAGCCACATATGTACAGCTACTCTTCACTCACACAAGCTAAGGTGAAACCTTTAAAGTGTTTCAGTACGCTCTTAGGTTTTGATAGTGTTTCATTTGCAGCCGTCTTCATTCAATGCTAATTCCCAATTAAAATTGTTGAGTCTGTAGAATAAAGTTATTACTTTTATATTTTTAATTGTTAGTGATTAGTTGTTGTTGAGGTGTTTCACATACCGTGTTTCGGAAAAATAATTTGAAAGCTAATTTAAACTCTGCTCCTGCATCTACACAGAGACCTTTTAATGTGATTGCAGTGCTGGTTTCAGTCTAGGTCCTCAGGCAATAATTTCTGACAGTGATGTCATTCATGTGATGAAAAAGGAATGACTGACTAGTGAATTGCAAGCATGAAGAAGGCAGTAATTATGCTGTTTGGGTTTGGTTTTTTAATATTTTTCTGAACACATTGGCTTTTTTGAAGGGCAGATTTAACTGAACTTGTTGAAGTGAACCTGTTCCCCTGTGTCTGGCTTGTGCCTTTGTCATCCCTGGGGCAGGCACAGCCAAATTCATGTCAGCCTGTTCTGTGCCCCTGTAACCGGTATCGATTGGTGACCGGTATCGATTGGTAACCAGTATCGATTGGTAACCTCATCTGTGGTTTCCAGCCCCCCTGTCCATACCAGCCTCCATTGCTGCAGGACTGGTGACACTTGCCAGCGTCTGTGGCAGTGCAGCTCTGGTGCCAGCCCTGCCCTTGAAATCCCATGTGAACTGCCTGTGAGCTACGTGCAGCTCTGTAGCTTCTGGTGAAGCTGGTCCTTCTGCAGCCATACTCTTCTATTCTGCCCTTTTGATCCTAGTCCAAGCTTTCTTGTGCATATCCTGTGTTAATTCTAGCACCTTCCAGCTTTTGGATGTTGAAAGTCAAAACTTCCAAGTTCTTTTAGCCTTTTTTGCTTGGTCTGTGGGTGAGCATTGTAGAACCATGTTTGGGCTTTCCAAGACCTTCAAATGGCTTGCATATATTTTCTTGCTTAGTCATGCAGCTTTACAATTGGTTGCTTTCCTTATCAGCTGCCAAGTGAACTTTCATTGTAACAAGATGGGCAAGGTCAGGGAAGAAAATTAACAGAATATAATGATGTGCATAGCACTAAGCAAAGCCAGATGCAGAATTAGCTGTGGACTAGGAATGAGTTCTCTTCTCTGAGAACCACCAGTGACTCCATTAGGAATTGGCTTTGTCTGGTAATTTTTTTTCAAGTGTAAGGTCTGACTGTGGAAATCCTTTTTCTTATTAAGGTTCTGCTTCATTCAGTGCATTTCTAGTCTTCCCTTCTTTGTGAGGTTTTCTATTCCTTGACTCTGATCCAGTTCCATATCCATGCTATTCAAAGAAGCTTTATGAGATAAAACCGTACTACAGCTGAGAAAAAACTTGGTCACACAAAGCAAGAATGAACTTCACCAGC